TGTTTTGGACTCCAACTCCCACAATTCCTAACCTTGGGCCCTCCCTCCCTCCTTCCCTCCCTCCAGGTGTTTTGGACTCCAACTCCCACAATTCCTAACCTTGGGTCCTCCCTCCCTCCTTCCCTCCCTCCAGGTGTTTTGGACTCCAACTCCCACAATTCCTAACAGCCTACCGGCTGTTAGGAATTGTGGGAGTTGTAGTCCAAAACACCTGGAGGGAGGGAAAGAGGGAGGGCCCAAGCTGGTCCTGAGAGAAAGTTCAGAGTGATTTCCTCACGACCAGGCCTCTCCTTCGGTGTCCTCTCCCCACAATAAGGGACAAGGGGCGGGAAGGGGGGCTCCCTCGTTACCCAGGGAAGGCGCTCCACCGCCGCTCCCGTCGGGGCCTTCCCAGTACGAAGAGGAAGGGGCCACGAGGAGGACGAAGACGACGAGGAGGAGGAGGAGGAAGGCTCCTGCCATGGCTCCTCAGGAAGAAGGGACGCCTCAGGCTCCTCCGCTGCGGCACCGGCAGAAAGCGCCTCAGAGTCCCGCCGCTCAACCACTGAGGACGAGGCCCCGCCCACTCTGAGGAAGATCCAATCACAACAGTCGAAGCCCTCCAATGGGCGGAGGGGAAAGGGAAGGGGGCGGGGTCTAGACAAAGCTCCTCCCACTCTGCTTATTTTCCCTCAGGCAGCTCCAATCACTCAACTGTCGGAAAAAAGGACACGCCTACAACTGGGCGGAGGGAAAAGGGGAAAGGGGCGGGGTCTTCCCAAAGCTCCTCCCACTCCGTTTGTTGTTGTTCATTCGTTCAGTCGTCTCCGACTCTTCGTGACCTCATGGGCCAGCCTACGCCAGAGCTCCCTGTCGGCCGTTACCACCCCCAGCTCCCTCAAGGTCAGTCCAGTCACTTCAAGGATGCCATCCATCCATCTTGCCCGCGGCGAGAAAAGGGAAAGGGGCGGGGTCTAGACAAAGCTCCTCCCACTCTGCTTATTCAATCACTCAATGGCCGAAAGGGACGCCACGCCTCTAAGTAGGCAAGGACAATGAGGAAAGGGGCTGGGCCTTCGGTTAAGCTCCTCCCACTCTGCATATTTTACCTCAGAAGCTCCAATCACTTCAAGTCCGGAGGGGAGGAGGATAGGGGCGTGGTCTCACTATAACTCCTCCCACTCTGCTTATTTTACCTCGGAAGCTCCAATCCATGACTGGAGGGGAGGAGGATAGGGGCGTGGTCTCACTATAACTCCTCCCACTCTGCTTATTTTACCTCAGAAGCTCCAATCCATGACTGGAGGGGAGGAGGATAGGGGCGTGGTCTCACTATAACTCCTCCCACTCTGCTTATTTTACCTCAGAAGCTCCAATCCATGTCTGGAGGGGAGGAGGATAGGGGCGTGGTCTCACTATAACTCCTCCCACTCTGCTTATTTTACCTCAGAAGCTCCAATCCATGTCTGGAGCGGAGGAGGATAGGGGCGTGGTCTCACTATAACTCCTCCCATTCTGCATATTTTACCTCAGAAGCTCCAATCACTTCAAGTCCGGAGGGGAGGAGGATAGGGGCGTGGTCTCACTATAACTCCTCCCACTCTGCATATTTTACCCCAGAAGCTCCAATCCATGTCTGGAGGGGAGGAGGATAGGGGCGTGGTCTCACTATAACTCCTCCCACTCTGCATATTTTACCTCAGAAGCTCCAATCCATGTCTGGAGGGGAGGAGGATAGGGGCGTGGTCTCACTATAACTCCTCCCACTCTGCTTATTTTACCTCAGGCAGCTGCAATAGGAAAAAAGGACACGCCCTCAACTGAAGGGGGGGGTAGGGAAAGGGGCGGGGTCTCCCCAAAGCTCCACCCACTCCGTTTATTTTACCTCAGACAGCTCCATTCAATGGCCGCCACGCCTCCAAGTGGGCGGGGACAGTGGGGAAAGGGGCTGGGCCTGAGCCTGAGCCAAGCTCCTCCCACTCTGCTTATTTTACCTCAGAAGCTCCAATCACTTCACGTCCGGAGGGGAGGAGGAAAGGGGCGGGGTCTCCCCAAAGCTCCTCCCACTCTGCTTATTTTACCTCAGGCAGCTCCAATTATTCAACAGTCGAAAGCAAAGCCACGCCCTCAACTGGGTGGAGGGAAAGGGCGGAGTTTCGCTAAAGCTCCTCCCACTCCGTTTATTTTGCCTCAGGAAGCTCCTGTCGCTCAAGAGCTGAGGCCACGCCCCCAATTGGGCGGGAGGAAAGGGGCGGGGCCTCGCCTAAACAAGCGCTTTTGGCTTCTATTTATTTTACCAGGTCTAAAGTGGAAGCCACGCCTCCAACTGGGCGGAGTCAAAGTGAAGGGGCGTGGCCTCGCCAGCTTCTTCACTCCGCCCACTGCATTCATTTCACTACCGAGGCCCCGCCCCGGAGTGCTAGGACACGCCCCCAAGTGGGCGGGGAAAGGGTGAGGTCTCACCAACCCAATCCCTGCTAGCTCCTCCCACTCTTGAGAGGCTGTTTATCTGGCTGAGGCGGAAGCCACGCCCCCAAAGTAGGCTGAGGGGAAGCCACGCCCCCAAAGTAGGCTGAGGGGAAGCCACGCCCCCAAGGAAGTTAAAATGGGATCAAACTGCAACAATTCCACAGTATAGACACCCCTAATCGAGTAGTGTGAAAGGGGCCCTAAGGGTTCTGTCTGATGGGACTCACAGTCCTTGCAACATCAGGAAGGCGAAACAATTTGGCCAAATAAATGAAAGCCTGAAAGGCCAATGCTGAAATATGTGCTGCCAATTAATAGGCTAATTTTTGCAAATGAGTATTCTGATATGCACTTGACAATATCCTTCAGAGAGTTTCAAATAGGATCATAAAATTCCGCTGTGCAGGTACAGCTGTACCAGGAGCTCCAATTTTGTTTGCTTTGCACTGAATGTTTGTTGTAGTCCTAAGTTTCAGGGACTCTGCAGATAGGTGGCTTCTTTTGGCTGCAATCATAGGGCAAGCCACCTGTCAATTATCATTAGGTTCCCTGGTCCCGCCCCTTTTTGGGTTTTGTAGGAAATAGGAGCCATTTTGAGCCAGTCTACACAGCGCAGCTTTTCATGCAGGACATAATACCAAGGGTTCCTGTAGAAAGCTTCGTCTTCTACGGCTTGGCGGGGGAGATATACAGCCTACAGCTTGACTGGGGTTATACAGCCCTACAGCTCCTTTGCTGAGGGACTTCAGTCAGCCATCACTGAAACCTAAACTCCTCCTTTTTTCCCTTGGAAGTCTACAAAGCTCTGCTTAGTAAGGGTCACTCGCAGAAGCCAGAAGCAGTTGGTACCGGGTGCAGGGGCTCCACGCCAACAGAGGCAAAGACAGACTGCCCAGATTAGAAGTTAAGGATTTCCCCATTAGTTACAGTTATGAAGATAGTGCCTGTTCCCTGTGGACAAGATTGAGAGAGAGCCAATAGACTGTTAAGAAAGCTTTAAAGTACCTGTTTGTTTTCATTAATAAAGAACTTTGTTGAACCTTTAAGCAATCTAAAGACTCTGTTTTAAGGAAATCCAAGGGCCTTTAATCTGAGGCAGCCCCGGCGTCCCGTTGGGCACACGGAATTTATGTCCTGTCTACAGTCTTATGCACAGGCCCAGCATGTGACAGCACATCCGCTGTGTGGTCTTCGGGCCTCACTAAGAGGAAATGGTTGGAAATAAAGTGTAATGTTAGATGATATATTGCATCTCCAAAGCATAAGCGAAAAACAATCCGATTTCCAATCCTTCTGAGTTTCCCCAAAATGAGAAAGTGATGAAAGTTTGCAATCTTCATCTTGACAACGTTTCGGTGGGTGTATATCACAAAGCGAAGGCAGCCGTCGTTGCTCTGAAATGTCAAAGATATTAAGTGCCTGAGGTTGATCACAGCGCATTGCAATCAATATTGTGAAATAATATATGGAGGGGAAAAAGCAGAGCAAGCAGCTTCGTCTAAATTGTTTGCGGCCTCCGTTGCATTCCCTCATTCACACAACCGACGTGCCATTTATTTCTCCTTTAAAGAGTTCGGCCACGGGTTTAAATTATTCAAAGTAAGGGCACTGGTTGTATATAAATAATGGTCTAGATCAGAGCCAGTGTGAGGTAGTGGTTTGAATGGAGACCAGGGTTTGAATTGCTGCTCAGCCATGGACATTCAGTGGGTGACCTCAGGCCAGTCACACTCTCTCGGCCTCCAAGGAAAACAATGGCAACCCACTTTTGAGTAAACTCTACAAGAAAAACCCACATGAGATTTGCCTTGTGGTCACCATAAGCTGGAAATGGCTTGACGGCATACAACTACAGTTGTATAGTGTAGAGTACAATATAATAATAGTAAAGGTAAAGGCTTTCCCCTTAACATTAAGTCCAGTCGTGCCCGACTCTGGTGCTCATGTCCATTTCTAAGTCAAAGAGCCAGCATTGTCCAGACCTCCAAGGTCATGTGGCCTGCATGACAATGGAGCGCCCTTACCTTCCCGCTGAAGCAGTACCTATTGATCTACTCACATTTGCATGCTTTCAAACTGCTAGATTGGCAGAAGCTGGGGCTAACATTGGGAGCTCACCCCATTCCCCAGATTCAAACTGCCGACCTTTTGGTCAAGTTCAGCAGCTCAGCGGTTTAACCCGCTGCACACCACCGGGGGCTTTAATATAATAATATATAATACTTTTTTTCCGTGTCAGGAGCATCCTGTTGTGAGAGAATGGGCCGTCTGCAAGGACGTTGCCCAGGGGACGCCCGGATGATTTTGATGTTTTTATCATCCTTGTGGGAGGCTTCTCTCATGTCCCCGCATGAGGAGCTGGAGCTGATAGAGGGAGCTCATCCGCCTCTCCCCGGATTCGAACCTGTGACCTGTCGGTCTTCAATCCTGCCAGCACAGGGGTTTAACCCACTGCGCCACCGGGGGCTCCTATATATAATACTAATATTGTGCTATGCTAATAATATAATGTTTACACATATTATATTGATAATAATATAATGCAATATATTATAATAATACAATAGAATATATAATATTGTAATATAGTCATACTAATATATTAAATACTAGCTGTACCCGCCACACGTTGCTGTGGCCAACGTTCCCTCCCTCTTTCTCTTCTTTCTTTCTCTCTCTCCTTCCTTCCCTCACTCTTTCCTTCCTTCCTTCCCTTTTTTTCTTTCTTTCTCTCCTTCCTTCCCTCCTTCCCTTTTTTTTCTCTCCTTCCTTCCTTCCTTCCTTCGCTCTTTCCTTCCTTCCCATTTTTTCTTTCTTTCTCTTTCCTTCCTTCTCTACCTCTTTCCTTTCTTCCCCTCCCTTTTTCTTTCTCTTTTTTTCCTCTCCTTTCTTCTACCTCTTGCCTTCCTTCTGTCTTTCCTTCCTTCTTTCTCTCTTTCCTTTGCTCCCTCCTTCCTTCCCTTATTTTCTTTCCTTCTCTCCTTCCTTCCTTCTCTACCTTTCCTTTCTTCCCCTCTTTTTCTTTTCCTTCTCCTTTCTTCTTTCTCTACCTCTTTCCTTCCTTCCTTCTCTCTTTCCTTCCTTTTTTCTTTCCCTCCCTCTTCCTCTCTTTCTTATTTTCTTTCTTCCTTTCCTTCCTTCCATTTTCCTTCCCTTTTTTCTGTATTGTCATTTATTTTTTCATCATTGAGCTTTTTGGGAGGTTTTAAGTCCTTTCCACTGTTTTGGGGGGAATTTGTGAGTGATGGTCACTTGTTGTTTGTTAGGGGTGTAGTGTCCAAATTTCATGTCATCAAGTTGTTTTTGAGTTATGATAATCCCACAAATTAACATTACATTTTTATTTATATAGATAATACCACTGATAATATATAATGGTATACTTTTTATTATTGTATATTTGTATAGTTTAAATTTTAATTTTTTTATTGTGAGCTGCTTTGAGTCTCCGTATGGGGAGAGAAAGCGGAATATAAATAAAAAATAAAAATAAATACATAAATAAAACTATATACACACAGTTATTAGCTGTAAACGTTCAGAATATTGTGCTAACTTGACGTAAAAAAGATATCATTTTAATTGAATCAGTTCATTCTTAGAGCCAGGAAGCTGTCTTGCAAAGTCTAAAACAAAATTACAGCTAAAACAAAAAAATAAAAGGAGATAGCTATTCTTTGTTCCATTAAAATCTCATTTCTCTCCAGAGAATCCAATGATCTTTTCAGCAGATTACGTGCAAGGCACTCAAAGTTGCCAATTAGCCAAAAAGTCCTCAAATAAGGATCCTGCTGATAATATTTTTCTGGGGAGAAGGGAGACCTAAAAGTCACTGGCGCAATTAAATTTTGAAATTAAAGAATATGAAAGGTTTTAATGGATTTCAATCAGAGCTGAAAGACAAAGTGTACTTACTGGGGAGAATATTTAATATATATTTAATATTTATTTGAACTAAATGAGACACAAAATATCTCATTTTAAATTTGAGACTAATTCAAACAGGGAAAACTAGATGATCCTACATGGCTGGAATCACTGGGTTGCTGTGAGTTTTCCGGGCTGTCTGGCCATGTTCCAGAAGCATTCTCTCCTTATGTTTCACCCACATTATGTCAGGCATCCTCAGAGGTTGTGAGGTCTGTTGGAAACTAGGCAAATTGGGTTTATATATCTGTGGAAGGTCGAGGGTGGGAGAAAGAACTCTCGTCTGTTGGAGGCAAGTGTGAATATTGCAACTGATCAGCTTGATTAGCCTGGAGAAATGACACTCTTTAGTCGGTATCGCACCACCCGACATCCACCGGGAAGTAGCAGCCAATAGTAAAAGGACCAAGTCAATGACATCTCCAGCTCATCCCCTGTTTGAGTATCAACCAGGACATCAACGACTTAAATCAAGAAATAGTTTTCTAAGATCTACAGATACACTCGCTGGAACACCTCAGCAATCGAGAGTCCAAAAGTGGCAGGCTCAAACCCAGAACCTCAATCAATGGCTGATACCAAATGAGAGACTCCCCCCGGGCACACAGAAAACTAGGCGACTTGGAAGGCACTGAACAGACAGCACTCTGGCACCACGAGATGCAGAGCCAACCTTAAGAAATGGGGCTACAAAGTGGAGTCCACGACATGTGAGTGTGGAGAAGAGCAAACCACTGACCACCTGCTGCAATGCAACCTGAGCCCTGCTACATGCACAATAGAGGACCTTCTTATAGTAACACTAGAGGCACTCCAAGTGGCCAGATACTGGTCAAAGGACATTTAAACAACTACCAAGCTTGCAAACTTTGTGTTTTGTTTGTTTGTTTGTTTTTTAATGCAATACAACTGTTTGGCTTGCTCCTGACATGAAAAATAGCTTGATTAGTCTTGCAGCTTCTAGGCCTGGCTGATTCCTGTCTGGGGGAATCCTTTCTTGGAAGGCATTAGCTGGCCCTGATGGCTTTTGAATTTTTTTGTTTGTTTTTTTAGTGTTCCTCTTTTCTTGTCCTGATTTTAGAGTTCTTTTAATACTGACAGCCAGATTTTGTTCATTTTCATGATTTCCAGGTTGGTTCATCAGGTGCTCAGCTATGGCTGACTTCTCGGGTTGAATTACTCTGCAGTGCCTTTCATATTCCTTGATTCATGTCTGGACAATGCTGCTGCATTTGGGGGTCCCTACGTAGACTTGTCCACAACTGCATGGAATACGGTAGACTCCTGCAGAGGTGAGAGGATCTCTCTTTTCCGTTGCTGAATGGAACATTTGTTGGATTTTCTTAAGTGAGTCTGTAGATAGTTCCCCTGAAAACAGGGGAATTCCAGACATGAAACAATCAGGGTCAGCTAACACCTCCCAACAAAGGATTTCCCCAGTCAATACTCAGCAAGGCCTTGAAGCTGCTAGGGTATTCAATGCTAATCAATGTAGCCATTTGCAACATTCACACTTGCCTCAAGCAGACAAGAGTTCTTTCTCTTACTCTGGACATTATTCCACAGATATATAAACCCCACTTGCCTAGTTTCTAACAGACCTCCCAACCTCTGAGGATGCCTGCCATAGATGTGGGTATAACGTCAGGAGCATGGAACATGGCCAGGCAGCCACCCAAATTTATTTATTATTTATTTACGATATTTATATGCTGTCCTTCTCACCCCGAAGGGTACTCAAAGCAGCTTACAAGGTATATATTACATACAATATATTATTAGCATAGTACAATATCAGCATTAAACATTGCTATATCGTAATATTATTAGTAATATTACATGTAATGTAAATATATAATTATAATATATTATTATATTGCATTACATTATAATATTATAAATATTATATGTATATGTATATGTATATGTATATGTATATTATATTATATTATATTATATTATATTATTAGAATAGCACAGGAGACAAGGTGGAACTGTCCCCTGGCCCTCTCTCTCAAATCCTACATGTTCCACTGCTGACTGTGATTTTTTGGGTTGTTTGTTTTTGTTTTGTTTTTTTGTCGTGTCAGGAGCTACTTGAGAAACTGCAAGTCGCTTCTGGTGTGAGAGAATTGGCCGTCTGCAAGGACGTTGCCCAGGGGACGTTGCCCGGATGTATTGATGTTTTTATCATCCTTGTGGGAGGCTTCTCTCAAGTCCCCGCATGAGGAGCTGGAGCTGATAGAGGGAGCTCATCCGCCTCTCCCCGGATTTGAACCTGTCGGTCTTCAGTCCTGCCGGCATAGGGGTTTAACCCACTGCGCCACCGGGGGCTCCAGGTTTTTTTTTTTTTTTTTGTGCTTTCCAGTTATAACAATTTGAAGACTATTTCCACAACTAAAAGCGGTGTGGAAACGAACATATCTAAAATCAGAAACAGTATAGAACACCTCCGTCTTCTCCTTGGATCCTCAGGCAAAATAATAATCACCCAACTACTTTAAAAAAGTGAGGCAAGCACCACTTTTCTGCTGTAAATCTTTCCAAGCAACCATAAATACCAAATCTAATTGTTTCTTTTCAGGATCAGCATATTGAATCTTACTTCAATCAATCAAAACTCTGACAGTAGCATTCTAAAGATTTTATTTTATTATGTAATAAAAAAAGAAATAAAGATGAAGAGCTGAGACATTATTATTCACTGAGGAAAAAAAGTTACCGTTTCCAATGGTGAAAGGAGCTGTTCAATAAACCAAGATTCATGGCTCCTTGACTTCGCTGTTAAGGTCAGAAGTAGTTTATTGAAATGGCCCTCCACCATTGTTAAGGTGCCTGGCTTATTTATCCTTCTCTTTCTGTTCTTTTTCTTTCTTTTCGCGCTCTGCTTTGGCTTCTTCCTCTTCGTGTTGCTTTATCAACACTTCCACTTCTTTTTGCTTCAAAACCCTTATGATGGTCTTCCCGTTCTCTCTCGTCAGGGTCGCAATTTCAACTGAAAGAGAAAGCATTCCAATATTAGTAATGTTCGTTTGCGGGATTAACATAACTCAAAAACCACTGGGCAAATTGACACTACATTTGGACACAACAAACCTATCAGGCCAATGAGTGACCATCACTTATAAAAATCCTGGAAAACACAGCGGAAGGGACTTAAAAAGACAAAAATAATAATAAATACATTAAAAATTAATAATAATAATAATTAGAAATCCAGCACTGTAAAGCTAGGCTACTGTTCCTGAGCATGCACAGATGGTCATAATAATAATAACATAGAATAATATAATAATAAATATATAATAATATAAATAATACAATAATAAAATAATAATAAAATCTATATAAATAAAAATGTAATGTTAGTTTGTGGGTTGAACATAACTCAAAAACCACCGGACAAACTGACACCAAATTTGGACACAGTACACCTCTCAGGTCAATGAGTGACCATCACCCATTAAACACTGAAAAACACAACAGAAAAGACTTAAAAAGCAAAAAAATACATTACAATGCATGCGCAAAACCACATATATATACACAAACACACATATATATACAGAAATACACACACATATACACAGACTGTGTCACCGCAATGCGTGGCAGGGGACGGCTAGTAACAATATAAAACTGTATAAAACAATATAAAACAGTATAAAAACAATCAATCAGTCAGCGGTCACCTGTTTAAATCATCATCCAAGGGGCAAATTATGTAACAAAATTTTCAAAAAAAATCTGTTCTTGGTTTGAAAGTAATATTTCCTATTTAATTGTGTGCTACTTATGGTACTTTGAAAGTAGTTGTTATACTCCAGAAACTTTGTTTTTATTTATTATTTTATTTACTATGCTTCTATACCGCCATTCCAAGCCCAAGGGCAACTCATGGCAATTTACAAAACGGCACAATTCGATGCCCACAACAGTACAAAGATAATTTAAACATTAAAAACATTTAACACAGATAAATATTCATTACAATTAACATCAGTAACACACAAAAAACCCATTTTTGTGGTTGCCACAAACTAGGTTGGATTGGTTGAGACTCTATCAGATATTCATTGAAAAACTATAGCAAAAATGTGCTGCAGAATGTCCCACAAAAACAATTTTTTGCAGTTTAATCAACTTTTCCCATGTTGTTCTGATAGAACCTATTAGGAAAGGACATGTATAACCCAGGAACAAAAATGGTGTCACATAGTGTTCTGTTGTGTTCTTGCCCTGCCTCCAGCTCAATGAATGCTAAGGCACCCTTGATTCCATTACGGAAAGACATGGAAAGAAGTACTTTAACATAGAGAGAGAGAACAGGGACAGCGTTTGAACAGCAAACGAGAAGTTGCATTTTTTTCAGAGCAGCCTTGTTTACACTTCGTCTCCGATCAGCAATGGTTGCAAAAATAATCCAGCAGTTCCCAGAACGAGGATAAATACCCACAAATTGTGTTATTAAACAAAAAATGTATCAAGTGGAAAAAGCACACTTTCTGTATTTGGAAGGTACTGCTATTCATATTTTTTCTAACAAGCTTATTGTACTGAATCACTTGTATTAATGATAGAATGAAAGAACGGTTGTCCCCAGAGACAGATAAAATATCTTACCAACATTGAAAGGCACAGAAATGCTCACCTTTCTCTGCAGAGAGTTTACTGACATCCATGGTTTTGTTCAGAACCTTGACAGCTAAGGCCAGGGCGGATTTCAAGGTCATTTCTCCCTCTTTGTAGTCTTGCTTCAACATCGAAACTGCTGCCTGTTAAAGAAGGCAAGAGCGGGAATTTTCAATGCAGGTTTGTAGAGGAAGCAAAACAAGGTTAACTAAAACCGAGCTCCAGAGGTTTCTACCTTGCACTTCCTGACACAAAGGCTACTATGTGTTATCAAAGGCTTTTGTGACCAAAATCACTGGATTGCTGTGAGTTTTCAGGGCTGTATGGCTATATTCCAGAAGCTTTCTCTCCTGACGTTTCTGTCAGAGATTGGCGATGTCCAGCGGAAGGAATGTTAGATCAGCAGACACTGAGTTGTAAAATAAGGACTCTGCAGGCTTTGAGTTATAAAATAAACTAAGTTTACTAAGTACATTCAACAGACACATCTTTCTACAGCGAGCTATAATTCAGGAACTAGTCAAAACCGAAAACCTCTTCACATCTGCTTATCTTCTCTTGCTGAGACTGGCTACTCCCTTCTGTTCCCAGCAAGAGCAAACCTTATCTTACTTTTCTCAAGTTCACTTAATCACAGCCTCATAGTATAAACATTCTGCACAGCATTTTTAATTCACAGTGGCATCCATATTTGCAATATATAGAAGCACATTTAAAACACATACATAACTAAATTAATCCTGACAGTTTCACCCACATCTATGGCAGGCATCCTCAGAGTTTGTGAGGTTTGTTGGAAACTAAACGGTTCTGGCCCAAACTAACTGTCCGAACGTATCTCATCCCACAAACCATCATGAAGTTTAAGATCTTCAGGAGAGGCCCTGCTCTCGATAATAATAATAATAATAATAATAAAATAATATAATCATATTAAAATTAATATAAATATATAATATAAATATAATAATAATAATAATAATAATAATAATAATAATAATAATAATAATAATTTATTTATACCCCGTCACCATCTCCCCGACGGGGACTCGGGGCGGCTTACATGAGGCCAAGCCTGGACACCATATTACAGCAAGATAAAACCAAAACATAAGCAACAAGCAACAAAATCAAAATTACATTTAAAAAACAAACATATGAATACAGTAACAAAATAACATTACAATAAACACAATCGCAGTGACAGCGGGCAAGCCACATGTACAGGATAAAATGTTAAAAAACTCAAATGAGATAAGAATAAGAGAAGTTATTTGCAGGGACAAGGGAATGGGGACAAGAGACAGGGCCTTCTCAGTAGTCGCCCCCCGCCTATGGAACGCCTTCCCTAGAGATATCAGATTGACCACCTCGCTCTTGTCTTTTAAAAAGAAAATCAAGACCTGGTGATGGGAACAAGCATTTGATCAGTGAGCAGCAAGTGGAGGAAGATCACACAACTTATGGCAATGCATTGACCCGGACTGGTTTTTGGATTTCGATTTTAATGGATGTGTTTTAATTGTTATTTTAATTTTTAATATTGTACTGTGGTTGTTTTTATCATGCTAGCATGATGCTTTTGTTAGGCCGCCCTGAGAGAAGGGCAGGGTATAAATATAGGAAATAAATAAATAAATAAATAAAAATAAACTCAGCAGGTGAGGTTCGTATATCTGTAGAATAATGTCCAGGGTGAATGAAAGAACTCGTGTCTGCTTGAGGCAAGTGTGAAAGTTTCTGGACTGTATCACCACGTTCCAGAAGTATTCTCTCCTGACATTTCTCCCACATCTATGGCAGGCATCCTCAGAGGTTGTGAGGTTTGTTGGAAACTAGGCAAGTGAGGTTTATATATCTGTGGAATAATGTCCAGGGTGGGGGAAAGAATTCTTGTCTGCTTGAGTTTCTGTAATAAAACAACTACTTTCAAAGAACACAGCAATGCCCAAACACAAATCAAGGAACATGAAAGGCACTGCAGACTAATTCAACCAGAGAAGTCAGCCATAGCAGAGCACCTGAGGAAACAACCTGGGCACAGCATATTATTATTGGAGAACACAGAAATGCTGGACCACCCTCACAACCACCATGTCAGACTACACAGAGAAGCCATTGAAATCCGCAAGAAGCATGTGGACAATTTCAACAGAAAGGAAGAAACTATGAAAATGAACAAAATCTGTATTTTTTTAATAAAAAAACTCTAAAATCAGTATTTTGTTTTTAAAAAACTCTAAAATCAGGACAGTAAATAAAGAGTAATACTAAAAAACTGGGGAATTCCAGACAAGAAACAATCAGGGCCAGGTAATCAACTCCCCACAAAGGATTCCCCAGGCAGGAAGCAGCCAGGCTTTGAAGCTGCAAGGCCATTCAAAGCTAATCAAGCTGGCCAATTGCAACATTCACACTTGCAGACAAGAATTCCTTCTCCCACCATGGACATTCCCCTGATGTTGCTTAGTTTCCAACAGTCCTGCCATAGAATTTCAACAGAAAGGAAGAAACTATGAAAATGAACAAAATCTGGCTGTCAGTATTTTTTTTTAAAAAAAAACAACTCTAAAATCAGGACAGTAAATAAAGAGTAATACGCAAAAACTGGGGAATTCCAGACAAGAAACAATCAGAGCCAGCTAATCACCTCCCAACAAAAGGGTTCCCCCAGGCAGGAACCAGATATATAAACCCCACTTGCTTAGTTTCCAACAGACCTCACAACCTCTGAGGGTGTCTGCCATACATGTGGGCAAAAAGTCAGGAGAGAATGCTTCTGGAATATAGCCATACAGCCCTGAAAACTCACAACAATCCACAAATGCTACTTTTCAATACATGGAAAGAAACTCACCGCGCTGTTGTTCCCAATGCAGGTGGCTTTCCATCCGCCATAATTCCCACTGGGGTCACTCTGGTACAGCTGGAACCCATAATGCTTATCCCAACCGATGTACAACAGCGAAACACCAAAAGGACGCTTCCCTGAGAAAAGGCAAGGTTAGGAGCGATTTGAATTAAGCAGTCCTACTTGGAGAAAGTCAAGCCGACGACAAAATCTTTTCCTGTGAACTAGGATTTAATAAGCACTTCTGCTACTTAAGATAAGCACTGCCTAAATCCTTCACGGTTTTCTTTCCAAGGCTCTGGAAACCTTTGGCGCTCGTGTGGTACCTTCTCCCTGGCTTCTGGGGAGAAGTTAATACTTAAAGGTGATTACTTGCAAAATATCTGCAGTTTTTTAAAAACAGAATGTTCTAGGACTGATTCCCCCCTCACGTTATCATTAAGTACGTTTCACCCAATTATTTATTTATTTACAACATTTCTATGCCGCCCTTCTCACCTCGAAGGGGACTCAGAGCGATACAATATATTAAATTATTAGTATAGTACAATATCAGTATTATATATGACTATATTGTACTACACCATTATATTGTAATATTATTAGTAATATTACATATAATATAAAATATTTAATTATAATATTGTATTATTATTATTATTAGTATATTGTATTGCATTATAATATTATAAATATAATACATATACAATATATTATATTATATTATATTATTAGTAAAACAAAGGAGACAAGATGGAACTGTCTTCAACTGTAGGCCCCTCTCTCTTCACTCTGGCAGGCAGGAGACAAGATACAACTTCACCCACTTCATAGGAAATCTGCTACCAAACAGAAGCTTTTTTGTCGAATTCCAGGGACAGAGAAGCAAATAGTGGAAACAGAAGTACAGCCTGCCTCAGGGGAGCATGCTCGCTCCATCAATGTTTAACATTTACACAAATGATCAGCCACTGCCAGAAGGGACAGAAGAGTTTCATCTATGCTGACGATCCTGCCATCACCACCCAAGCAGGGAGCTTTGCAATGGTCAAACAGAAGCTCTCCGAAGCTTTAGGTGCCCTTTATTGCCTATCACAGGGAAAACCAGCTTGCACCATCAATGCTTAACATTATACAAATGATCACCCACAGCCAGAAGGACAGAGAGTTTCATCTATGCTGACGATCGTGCCATCACCACCCAAGCAGGGAGCTTTGAAATGGTTGAAATGATTAATAATACCTGAAGCAACTTGTCCAACTCACAGACAGCACTGTTAACAAAAAAGCATAGACTGAAGACAAGTTTCCTGCCTTGTCTTTTCTATGCTGCACAAAATATTCAGGCCAGCAAAGGACAATTTGTTCTATTAACTGAACTGATTTATCTGCACCAGATTTTTTTTTAAAAATCCCAAGTCAGCCTTTTGCCACTTTACTGTCGGAAGAAGCTCTTTCATCACACTTGAAAGCCTATCGCCATCATTTCTATAGGACAGGCTGACATTCACTGCTTTGTGAAAAAGTTCCCTTCTTTGACAATTCAAGGAAATAAAATTACCCCCAAACTGAGTGTAAGCTTGCTTGATATCGCACAGGGCTGTTACCAACTGCTCACAAGGGATCGGCTCCTGATACTGCAACAGATACCTGGAACATAACAACAACAGAAAAGAAAATGCTAATAATATTTATTTACTTATTGTATTTGTACACAGCCTTTCTCAGCCCGTAGGTGACTCAAGGCAGTTAACAGTGTAAAATTCAAAGCTTACAATATCATAAATACAATTAAAAACATATAATAAAAATTAAACATATTAATAAAATATAAATTTATAGTGTCTCCTTGTTAAAAACATTGCCCGGTTTCATTGTCGTTGTTCCATTTTCCATGTGTCAGTTACTCTGCATTTGGAAACGCTTGTTCAAAAAGCCATGTCTTGACTTTTTTACGAAATATTAAAAGGGAGGTGGACGATCTAATATCTATACGGAGGGCATTCCACAATACAAATAAAGAATCACATTTTAAAGAACCCTTAGAAGGGTGAGCTGTAAAATAGCTAATATTTCAAATAATGTTTTCTCCCCATTAATGCGGTCAGAAAGAACGGAAGGCAGACATGAATCAGCTCTCTGTCATATGTGTGTGTGTGTGTGTGTGTGTTTGTGTGTCAAAGGCAAAACAGATACATAGCAGGAATGAGGGACCACCCACTGACAGTCACATTTTAGGAAAAGAGAAAGGAAAATTCCCTTTAAAATAGCAGATCTAGCAAGTTTGTTTCATGGATCTAGACCCTAATTTCACTTTAAAAGCTCTAACCATTCCCGAATTCATACCTCTGTGCAATTAGCCTCAGCTCATTCGTTAATACATTGGCATCTGAAGTGATTCCAGCCACGCTGCAAGCCATATCCCTGAAACATAAAGCACATTAGGTTAAACTTACGTACAATGTTCCTTTAAGTTTCAGAAGACACCTGCCTCCCAGAATCCCAGAACGGCTTCCGCCCCTCCAGAGAAACTGTGGAAATGATCTTCACTGCATGACAGCTCCAAGAAAAATGCAGGGAAGGAAATCAACCTCTGTCCATGGCATTCATTGACCTTGCAAAGGCATTCGGCAGAGTGAATCACAGCGCTCTCCGAACCATCCTCCAAAAAATCGGGTGCCTTAACAAATTTGTGACCATCCTGCAGCTCCTCCATGATGGCAACAGTCTTGGACAGCAATGGCTCCCAAAGTGATCCATTTAAGGTGGAATCAGGTGTCAAACAGGGATGATGTGTTATTGCCCCAACTTTATTCTCCATCTTCATTGCTATGATACTTCATCTTGTTGATGGGAGTGGAAATAATCTATCGGACAGATGGCAAGCTGTTTAACCTCAGCAGACTGAAAGCCAAAACCAAGGTTACAACAACAACTGTTATAGAACTCCAGTATGCTGATGACAACGTCATCTGTGCGCATTCAGAAGCCACTCTAAATACTTTTGCCGAAGCATACGAGAAGCTCGGCCTGTCATTGAACATTGAGAAAACCAAAGTGCTGTTCCAGCAGACACCAGGCAATCCCTCTCCAATGCCAGAGATACAGCTTAATGGTGTAACAATAGAAAATGTTGACCATTTCCGCTCCCTTGGCAGCCACTTCTCCACCAAAGTCAACACCGAAATACAACACCTCCTGAGCTCTGCGAGTGCAGCATTATTCCGAATGAAGCAGAGAGTGTTTGAGGACCGGGACATCCATAGGGAGACCAAGGGGTTTGTCTATAAAGCTATTGTCCTCCCAACCCTGCTATATGCCTGCGAAACGTGGACTGTCTAAAGACGTCACATGCAACTCCTGGAACGATTCCATCAGCGCTGCCTCCGGAAAATCCTGCAAATCACTTGGGAACACAAGCGGACAAACGTCAGTGTGCTGGAAGAAGCAAAGACCACCAACATTGAAGCGATGGTCCTCTGCCATCAACTCCGCTGGACCGGCCACATTGTCCAGATGCCCGACCACTGTCTCCCAAAGCAGTTGCTCTACTCTGAACTCAAGAACGGAAAACGGAATGTTGGTGGACAGGAAAGGAGATTTAAAGATGGGCTCAAAGCCAACCTTAAAAACTGTGGCATAGACATCAAGAACCGGGAAGCCCTGGCCATTGAGTGCTTTAACTGGAGGTCAACTGTGACCAGCACTGCTGTAGAATGTAAAGAGGCACAAATTGAGGGTGAAAGGGTGAAACGTGCCAAGAAGAAGGTGCATCAAGCAAATCTTGACCGGGACCACCTTCCACCTGGAAACCAATGTCCTCACTGTGGAACAAAATGCAGGTCAAGAACAGGGCTCCACAGTCACCTATGTATCCACCGCCAAGACACCAGACTTGGAAGGCCATCATACTAGGACAACGAGGGATTGCTTAAGTAAAAGTAAGTCCCTTTGAGTATGATTTTGCAAAGAGGCAGGCTTTGATAGCACTGCCTTACTCATCTCCTGCTACAGTGATGCCTTCACTACATATTTATTGCACCTCAAGTACATGTGATTGATATATGATTTATTAATGTGCTTCAATAACAAAATGCATAGTTTCCTATACTCTAGTTCAGGGGTCCTCAAACTTTTTAAACAGAGGGCCAGGTCGCAGTCCCTCAAAATGTTAGAGGGCCAGATTATAATTTGCAAAAAAACATGAATGAATTCCTGTGCACTCTGCATATATCTTATTTGTAATGCAAAAAATAAAACAAAGGAAAACAAAAACACAGACTTAAAAACAATACAATAATTAAAATGAGTAACAATTTTAACAAATATAAACTTATTAGTATCTCAATGGGAAGTGCAGACCTGCTTTTGGCTAATGAGATAGGATTGTTGTTGTTGTTGCTGTTGTTGTTGTGTGCTTTCAAGTCAATTCAGACTTAGGTTGACCCTGAGCGAGAGCCGGGTAAATTACCTTGGAGGGCTGTATTCGCCCCCCAGGCCTTAGTTTGAGGACCCCTGCTTTAGGTACAACATCGGACTGGGTGTGCTGGAGGGAAGACTTCAGCAAATATGCAACAGACATCAGAGAAAAGGTCTTTTTCGGTAAAATCTTTTTGTCAACATAGAAACGGATGCAAAAAAGATGCACATCCCGCCTGCATTCTGGACATTAATCACTTTGCATCTCGGCTTTAAAAAAATGCTTTTCTTGCTGAATTTGAGATGGATACTGAATAGCCACTACTCTGCTGAAAGGAACCAAGTGAAGTAATCTAAGGACTGGATTGAGTAGCAAGGGCAGATATAAATAACTGAAATAGAACGAATGAGATGGTAAGCTGGTTTGCTGATGTGGCAAAACATCTCCCACTAGCCTTCAGGGTCAGACAATGGAGAGAAAAGGCCCTGCTTGTGTTGACCCTGAGCAGAACATTAACTGAAACCAGAGCAGAGAGTGGAAATCATGTGGCCTTCATGTGGCTTCTTGACTGGTAAGTTTGACATCTAATTTTGGAGAAGATATTTCTACTTTACATAGAGAAAATCAGTCTTACTTTGACATTAACCTTGAAAGAAGGAAATCTGTAAACGAACTTGAAAGGAAAGGGAAATAGACAGACCAGTAGCTCCCATCTAAACGAAACACTGGTCACATGATGTGAAGACGGTTGAAGTGAGAACACTAAACAGTATACGCATAAAACGAGCATACTCACTCATTGAGCTTGTAGATTTTCTCTGAGAAAAAGACTTCATCCAGGAGTTTGTGGATGTTGCGCCTTTCTGCTGCCAGCAGCACGCCATCGTTTGCTAGGATCCCAAGGCAGGTCCCCGCGTGCCCAATGGCTTCCATGGCATATTCCACCTGATACAGTCGCCCTACGTTTGGGGAGAAGATTGAGATTAGAGGCAATAACTTCAGAAGGCAATGAAACATGTTTTCCCTGCCTTCTCTTATCACCATGTTAATTACCTTCTGGGGAAAAGATGGTCGTTCGGGAATCATATCTTCGAGACTGCAAGGAAGGTTGAAGAACTTCAGTGATGAAACATAATAATAATAATAATAATAATAATAATAATAATAATAATACTTTATTTATACCCTGCTTCCATCTCCCCAAGGGACTCGGTGTGGCTTACATGAGGTCAAGCCCACAGTACATCAATAAACAAAGGCAATAAGAAAATAATCAATACAAAACAGTTAATATAAAACTCATAAACAAAAAATAAACAATAAACAATAACACACAAGCATTTAAAAACCTATGGCCGGGCCATGCCAGCTTTTCACATGTAATGCATCTTAGCAACTTCATATTAACTAATATAATAATAATAATAATAATCATCATCATCATCATCATCATCTTTATTTATACCCCGCTACCATCTCCCGATGGACTCGGTGCGGCTTACATGAGGCCGAACCCATCAATGATAAAGCAATAACAACAATTAATACAGACAATAAAATAAAACTCATAACAAAAAATAAACAATAAACAATAGCAGTAACACAACGACGTTTAAAACCTATGGCTAGGCCAAATGTAATAATTAAAATTTAAGAATAATGCTGAGCATGAACAGATGAAATATGAACTAGGATAGAGTTTTCAGAGAGGGATGGGGCATGCAGACATTCCTAGATCAATAGTAAAGTGCATTTTGAGGACATATTGCTGGGAGTTTCCTTATTCTGGGAAGGCACACTGGAACAACCACATTTTCAGGCTCCTCCTAAAGACTGCCAGAGTTGGGCATGCCTGATGTCCTTGGGGAGTGAGTTCCAGAGTCGAGGGGCCACCACCGAGAAAGCCCTCTCCCTCATCCCCACCAATTGCGCCTGCGATATCATATATATCGAATATAAGCCAAGTTTTTCAGCCCTTTTTCACCCTAACCCTCAGCTTATACTTAAGTCAAGGTTATTTATTATTTATTCTGTTATTATTATTATTTTATTACATTTATTATTCTACTCTATTATTATTGTTGTTGTTGTTGTTATTACATTTATTATTTTACTCTACTATTATTTAATTTAAAATAATTATATATTTATAGTACATGTAATATTACTAATATTACAGTACAGCAGTATAGTACGATACAATAATATATAATGCTAATATTGTGCTGTGCTAATAATATAATATATTGTATACACAAATATTGATAACATGTAATATTAATAATAATATTATTACATAGTGGTATAGTACAATATAGTAATATATTATTTATTTATTTACTGTATTTGTATACCACCTTTCTTTTTTTTCCTTTTTTAAAAATATTTTATTGGTTTTCTTAGAATACATCAATACCTTCAATAATCATATTCCATCCTCAATTCATTACATCAACCAAAGTGTATATATATCTTGTATACTTTTCCCCCCACCTCTGTGCCCCCCCCTTCCGAGCCACTTCAATTTGCATTCGCTTTCCAAAATACGTATACCGCCTTTCTAAACCCGCAGGCGACTCAAGGCTGTTTACAGGGCAACAATTCAATGCTCACAATAACATAAATACAGTTAAAAACATTAATATATAATATAAAACCACAACAAAATCAATAAAACATAAATCATTAGCGTCTCCTTGTTAAAACATTGTTCAGTCCCGTCGTCTAGTCCAGGAGTCCTCAAACTTTTTACACAGAGGGCCAGGTCACAGTCCCTCAAACTGTTGGAGGGCAGGATTATAATTTGAAAAAAACATGAATGAATTTCTATGCACACTGCACATATCTTATTTGTAGTACAAAAAACACTTTAAAACAATACAATAATTAAAATGAAAAACAATTTTAACAAATATAAACTTATTAGTATTTCAATGGGAAGTGTGGGCCTGCTTTTGGCTGATGAGATAGGATTGTTGTTGTTGTGTGCTTTCAGGACATTTGAGACTTAGGTTGACCCTGAGCAAGGGCCGGGTAAATGACCTTGGAGGGCCATATCCGGCCCCCGGGCCTTAGTTTGAGGACCCTTGGTCTAGTCGTTCCATTTTCCTATAACAGGTTCTCTGTATTTGCAAACAACTGCTTGAAAAACCTCGTCTTGACTTTTTTTTTGAAATGTTAAAAGGGAGGGGGCTGATCTGATATCCCTAGGAAGGGTGTTCCATAGCCAAGAGGCCACCACTGAGAATGCCCTGTCTCTCATCCCTGCCAAACATACTTGTGATATAATACCAATACTGTGCTATGCTAATAATAATATATTGCATGTACATATAACTTGTAAGCCACTCTGAGTCCCCTTCGGGGTGAAAAGAGTGGGATATAAATGCCATAAATTAATTAAATATTATTTAATTACATTTACTTTACTCTATTATTATTACATTTATTATTGTACTTTATTTATTATTATTGAAAGGATACCTAAACACATTTATATTGAAGATGGTTAGAATAATGGTTTAATTAGAGTTGGACAGTCTTAAATTACAATTTTATGTAAATATTCAAAAACATTTAACCTACTGATGCCTCAATTAATGTAACTGTATTGGTATCTATTTTTGAAATTGACCAGTATCTGATGCCTTTCCCAACCTCAGCTTATACTCAAGTCAATACATTTTCCCAGTTTTTTTTGTGGTAAAATTAGGTGCCTCGGCTTATATTTGGGTCGACTTATACTCGAATATATAAGGTACTTGCAAAACACCATTTTGGAATGCAGCAGAGACCCCTACTGCTTTTTCATCACTCAAATACATCCCAGATTATAGAAGAACTTAATTTGTTGCTGAAAATGTTATGAGAGTCATAAGTGTTTCCCACAAACACATATCTGTACCTTTTCCTTGCCACAATGCATACCAAAAGGTCTCTGTGCCAATCGACTGTCAGAAAGGAAGGGACATTTATTCTTGGAGACCTATTAACTTCGGGGCTTCATGGGAGGCACATGAAACTGCTATAAAGGAGCCCATATTAACTAATAGCTCTTGAATATACAGCAGGGCCTCCACTTCAGCATGGAGTTTTTTACCTGGGAGAATATGGCCAGAGTGAAGACAGAGAGGAGCAGAAGACATTTCCATCTTGTCTTTACTAATAATATAATATATGTATATTGTATATACATATAATATTTATAATATTATAATATAATACAATATAATACTAGCAATAATAATACATTATTATAATTATTATTATATATTCACATTACATGTAATATTACTAATAATATTTCAATATAATGGTATAGTGCAATATAATAATATATAATGCTGATATTGCACTATGCTAATAATATAATATACTGTATGTATATATACCTTGTAAGCCGCTCTGAGTTCCCTTCGGGGTGAGAAGGGCAGCATATAAATGCCGTAAATAAATAAATAATAATAAATAAATATCTCACAAGGAATCTCTTGGTCCTCCAGCACAACTGACGCTGGACGTTGGACACAGAATTGTGTTAGAGATTCTTAAACAGAATACATTAAGCCAGTGAATGATCAAATCTGATGAAGTTCAGCTCAAAAATGTGGAGGGTGGACTGTACTATCAAATAACCCATACCTTATCTATATAAATAAAAATGTAATGTTTGTTTGTGGGATAAACATAAAAACCACTGGGCGGATTGACACCAAATTTGGACACAGTATACCTATCAGGCCAACAAGCGCCCATCACTCATAAAAACACTGAAAAATATAGAAGAAGAAACTTAAAAAGCCAAAAAAAACCCCAAAAAATTACATTATAATGCATGCACAAAACCATATGTGTGTGCGTGTGTGTGTAAACACACATATACACATTAACACACGGGACGGCTAGTTCAACATAAACCTTCCCATCACGTTTGATTGCACTCATTTCCACACAAACTACCAAACCAGTTCAAAAACTCACCATAGTGTTCCTAGGTCTGTGCTAGGCTGTAAAAGAGAAAAAAAAAACCTGGTAAGACAGACATAGCTTCCTAGTCCTAAGACTACAAAGAAATACATAACAATTCAAGCTTTCTTCTTCTGCTGTATTGATTGTGAAAGCAAAAGTAGAGAAACGTGGTCAATGTCAATTAATCCTGACGGATATTTATTTATTTGCTTTATTTCTATACCGCATTTTTCAGCCCTTAACAGGCTGCATTGGATAAAGCAGTTTTTCTTCACAATGCATTGCTAACAATAATGTCACAAAATATCACTTATTTTCACACTGGGGTGGAAAAGCACACAACCTTCGAAACAAAGCCGTTGCCAAGAAAAGCTCAGAAATTTGGAATGATGAATTCTGAGGTCAGGACTGGCATTTAATTTTCTTAGCAAAATTTATTAGAAAGGTTTTGTCACTGCCTTGTTCTGAGACTGGGAGAATGTGACTTTTCCCACGCAAGGACACACAAGATGAGTGCACAGCAGACAAGATCACTCTGCTGGCTGTTGTACTGGATCACACGTTGAACGCTTCCCAAGTGTCTAGGACTGTGTGATGTATCGGTGAATAATGCGTGCAGATCCCAGTAAGGTGGCCTTTTAAAGCTGGCAGATGGAAACTTTGTCAGCGTCGATTGTGTTTAAGTGCAGGCCAAGGTCTTTAGGCACTGCACCCAGTGTGCCTATCACCACTGGGACCACCTTGTCTGGCTTGTGCCACAGTTTTTGCAGTTCGATCTTTAAATCCTCATATTGTGTCATTATCGTGTTGTTGTTGTTATTATTATTGTTCTTGTTGTTATTATTATTATTATTTTGCAAGCTGTTTTCACGACTAAGTGTGGATTTCAATCCTGATTTCCTGTGCAGCCATGAAGTGCTATGTGATCACTGTCTGTGTTATACTATTTACTATATAAATATATAAACCACATCGAATTGCCTGTCATTGAATATCAAGAAAACCAACGTGCTCTTCCAGCAGTCACCAGCCAATCCCTCTCCCAATGCCAGAAATACAGCTTAATGGTGTAACATTAGAAAATGTGGACCATTTCTGCTCCCTTGGTAGCCACCTCTCCACAAAAGTCAACATTGACTCCGAAATACAACACCGCCTGAGCTCTGCGAGTCCAGCATTCTTCCGAAAGAAGCAGAGTGTGTTTGAGGACCAGGACATCCATAGGGATACCAAGGTGCTTGTTTATAAAACTATTGTTCTCCCAATTCTGCTATATGCCTGCGAGACGTGGACAGTCTACAGACATCACATGCAACTCCTGAAATGATTCCATCAGCGCTGCCTCCGAAAAAAACTGCAAATCTCTTGGGAAGACAAGCGGACAAATGTCAGCATGTTGGAAGAAGCAAAGACCACCAGCATTGAAGTGATGGTCCTCTGCCATCAACTCCGCTGGACCGGCCACATCGTCTGGATGCCCGACCACCGTCTCCCAAAGCAGTCGCTCTATTCCAAACTCAAGAACGGAAAACGGAATGTTGGAGGACAGGAAAAGAGATTTAAAGATGGGCTCAAAGCCAACCTTAAAAACTCTGGCATAGACACCGAGAACTGGGAAGCCCTGGCCCTTGTGTGCTCCAGCTGGAGGTCAGCTGTGACCAGCAGTGCTGCAGAATTTGAAGAGGCACGAGTGGAGGGCGAAAGAGAGAAACATGCCAAGAGGATGGTATGTCTACCCAACCCCGACCGGGACCGCCTTCCACCTGGAAACCGATGCCCTCACTGCAGGAGAAGATGCAGGTCAAGAATAAGGCTCCGCAGTCACCTACGGACCCAACGCCAGGACACTACTCTTGGACGACCATCATCCTCGGAATACGAGGGATCGCCTAAGTAAGTAAGAGAGGGGCGGAATACAAATACAGTAAATAAATAGTAATTAAACACTGTACTGGTTTGTTTTGCTGTAAATTGTCCCAAGTCCCTTTGGGGAGAGGGGGCAAGATACAAATGAAGCTTATAATGCTTACTATTTGGTTGTTGTAGGTTTTTTTTTCAGGCTATATGGCCATGTTCTAGAGGCATTCTCTCCTGATGTTTCGCCTGCATCTATGGGTGGTGACAGTCTTGTTGAGAAGCAGATGACTTCCTAGTAACTGAATTCCCAAACCTGGGTGAACATTGCTCTGAGAAGACTTGTAAACAATTGGACTTTCTACCTCTGAAGTGTGATGCATGTGAAGATGTCTTCTGTAAAGACCACTTTGCATATGAACGGCACAAGTGTTCTTCTGCATATAAAAAGGATGTGCAGGTTCCAATCTGTCCCCTGTGTAACGCTCCCATCCCAGTTAGAAAGGAGGAGAGGCCACCTGACACCTGCTGGGAAGGAGCAACCAATAGTGAAAGGACCAAGGCAGTGACATCTCCAGCTCATCCCTTTGGGTATCGGCCAGCACGTCAACGACTTAAATCTAGAAATAGTTTTCTAAGATCTACAGAGACACTCACTGGAACACCTCAGCAAGTGAGAGTCCAAAAGTGGCAGGCTCAAACCCATTGAGAGACTCCCCCCTTGGGCACACAGAGGACTGGGCGACTTGGAAGGCGCTGAACAGACTGCGCTCTGGCACCACGAGATGCAGAGCCAACCTCAAGAAATGGGGCTACAAAGTGGAATCCACGACATGCGAGTGTGGAGAAGAGCAAACCACTGACCACCTGCTGCAATGCAACCTGAGCCCCGCCACATGCACAATGGAGGACCTCCTTGCGGCAATACCAGAGGCACTCCAAGTGGCCAGATACAGGTCAAAGGACATTTAATCAACTACCAAGTTTGCAAACTCTGTGTTTTGTCTGTTTATTTGTTTTTGTTAAAAATGTAATACAAATGTCTGTTTGCTGATGACATGATAAATAAATAACCCCCATCTATTTCAGGCATCCTCAGAAGTTGTGAGGTCTGTTGGAAACTAGGGAACTTGGGTTTATACATCTGTGGAATGATGTCCAGAGTTGGAGAAAGAACTCTTGTCTGTTGGAGGTGAGTGTAAATGTTGCAACTGGCCTCCTTGATTAGCATTGCCAAGCCTTGTAGCTTCAAGGCCTGCCTGACTCCTGCCTGAAGGAATCCTTTGTTGGGAGGTGTCAGCATATTATTTGAGAACAAGGAAATGCTGGACCACTCTCAGAACCACTGACCACCTGCTGCAATGCACCCTGAGCCCAGCCACATGCACAATGGAGGACCTTCTTGCAGCAACACCAGAAGCACTCCAAGTGGCCAGATACTGGTCAAAGGACATCTAATCCACTACCAAGCTTGCAAACTTTGTGTTTTGTCTGCCTGTTTGTTTTGTTCTGTTAGAAATGTAATACAATTGACTGGTTGCCCTGACACGACAAATAAATAAATAAGGCCTCATTTGGTCTAGGCCTCTTTCAGAGAGTGACAGCCTTGCCGAGTCATCCTCGCCCCAAGAATCCTCCTCGCCCGACGGAGAAGACAGAGAAGGGCTAAGGAGGCACGAACAGGGACACGGAAGCCCCTCGAAGGTCCCGGGCTCAGGCGGCCTCGCAAGAAGGGCCGACCAGGCCCCAAAAGCCCCCTTTCCCTCCCTCAGAAGTAACACTTACCCTCAGTTCCGCCTCAGCCGGTATCCAAAATGGCCGCCACTCCCCGCGCAAGCGTACTGCGCTAACGATAGAGAGGGGGCGTGGCTTCGGACAGAGCATTCGATCCTCGGAGGTTCCCATTGGCCCGCTACGTTACTTCAGACCGGACTTCCGTGTCGTCGGGGGCGCCATGATGAGTGTGGGCATTTGAGATCATCCTTCCCATCAAAAGTGCATCAGATCTTGCCAGCAAGGAATCAAAGCTGCAGTAGGCTGGATCCCATGTATTTCTGCAGTTTCATAGATTCCATGTATTTTAATTTATTTTCACTCTTTCTAATCCTGTGTTTTAATCCAATTTCAATGTTTATATTTACACATTTTAATTCTAATTAATTTATGCTTAATAATTTGTAGTTATGTAGTTTCATAGATTCCATGCATTTATGTATTTTAATTTATTTTCTCTCTTTTTAATCTTATGTTTTAATCCCATTTCAATGTTTATATTTGCACATTTTAATTTTAATTAATTTTATGTTTAATAATTTGTAGTTATGTGGTTTCATAGATTCCATGTATTTATGTATTTTAATTTATTTTCACTCTTTTTAATCTTATGTTTTAATACCATTTCAATGTTTATATTTACACATTTTAATTTTAATTAATTTTATTTTTAATAATTTGTAGTTATGTAGTTTCATAGATTCCATGCATTTATGTATTTTAATTTATTTTCACTCTTTTTAATCTTATGTTTTAATCCCATTTCAATGTTTATATTTGCACATTTTAATTTTAATTAATTTTATGTTTAATAATTTGTAGTTATGTGGTTTCATAGATTCCATGTATTTATGTATTTTAATTTATTTTCACTCTTTTTAATCTTATGTTTTAATACCATTTCAATGTTTATATTTACACATTTTAATTTTAATTAATTTTATTTTTAATAATTTTAACACTACATATAATTCTATTTCAGTGTTTATTTTTGTCCAATTAGTTTTCATCTTTTTTCACATTGTTAGCTGCTTTGAGTCTCTTTAGAGAGAAAAATCAGGGTATATTACGTGCTTATAATATAATATAATAAGTATAATATATTGTATATACATATAATATTGATAATATTATAATGTAATATATTTTATGTTTAATAATTTTCGCTATTTTTAACACTACATATAATTCTATTTCACTATTTTTGTCCAATTAATTTCATCTTTTTTCACATTGTTAGCTGCTTTGAGTCTCTTTAGAGAGAAAAATCAGGGTATATTATGTGCTTATAATATAATATAATAAGTATAATATATTGTATATACATATAACATTGATAATATTATAATGTAATACATTTTATATTTAATAATTTTCGCTATTTTTAACACTACATATAATTGTATTTTGCTATTTATTTTTGCCCAATTAATTTCATCTTTTTTCACATTGTTAGCTGCTTTGAGTCTCTTTAGAGAGAACAATCAGGGTATATTATGTGCTTATAATATAATATAATAAATATATATTGTATTTACATATAATATTGATAAAATTGTAATATAATACATTATAACACTACTAATAATAATATGATCTTATAACTATATATTTATATTAAATGTAATATTGCTAATAATATTACAGTATTATTATTATTTTGGTCGTGTCAGGAGCGACTTGAGAAACTGCAAGTCGCTTCTGGTGTGAGAGAATTGGCCGTCTGCAAGGATGTTGCCCAGGGGACATCCAGATAATTTGATGTTTTTATCATCCTTGTGAGAGGCTTCTCTCATGTCCCCGCACGAGGAGCTGGAGCTGATAGAGGGAGCTCATCCGCCTCTCCCCGGATTCGAACCTGCGACCTATCAGTCTTCAGTCCTGCCGGCACAGGGCTTTAACCCACTGCGCCACCGGAGGGCTCCATATTACAGTATAATGTTATAGTACAATATAATAATATATAATATTTATATTGTGCTATGGTAATAATATAATATATTGTATTTATATTTTACTTGTAAGCCACTCTGAGTCCCCTTCGGGGTGAGAAGGGTGGCATATAAATGTCGTAAATAAATAATAATAACAATCACTTACTTCCCTTAAGCGATCACCAGAGAAGTTACCTGTCTGCTTTTATGATAATAACAATAACAACCATTATTATTATTATTATTATTATTATTATTATTATTATTATTTGAAACACAACAAGATGAGTCCACAGCAGACACTCTGCTGGCTGTTGAACTGGATCACACGTCGGACACTTCCCAATATAATAATATTAATAATAATAATAATGTATTGTCGAAGGCTTTCATGGCCGGAATCACTGGGTTGTTGTAGGTTTTTTCGAGCTATATGGCCATGTTCTAGAGGCATTCTCTCCTGATGTTTCGCCTGCATCTACAGCAAGCATCCTCAGAGGTTGTGAGGTCTCTTGGAACTAGGAAAAAGAGTTTATATATCTGTGGAATGACCAGGGTGGGACAAAGGACTCTTGTCTGTTGGAGCTAGATGTGAATATTTCAACTGACCACCTTGATTAGCATTTGATGGCTTGGCAGTGCCTGGGGCAATCTTTTGCTGAGAGGTGATTAGATGTCTCTGATTGTTTTCCCTCTGTTGTTTTGCTTTTGTTCATTTTCATGGTGCCCTCCTTTCTGTTGACATTGCCCACATGCTTCTTGTGGATTTCAATGGCTTCTCTGTGTAGTCTGACATGGTGGCTGTGAGAGTGGTCCAGCATTTCTGTGTTGTCAAACACGAATCAAGGAACATGAAAGGCACTGCAGACTACTTCAACCAGAGAAATCAGCCATAGCAGAACACCTGATGAACCAACCTGGACACAGCATATTATTGGAGAACACAGAAATGCTGGACCACTCTCAGAACCACCATGTGAACAGCACAACAACACAGAGGAAACAAACAAGGACATCTAATCACCTCTCAACAAAAGTTTGCTCCAGGCACTGCCAGGCCATCAAATGCTAATCAAGGTGGTCAGTTGAAACATTCACACCTAGCTCCAGCAGACAAGAGTCCTTTGTCCCACCCTGGTCATTCCACAGATATATAAACCCTTTTTCCTAGTTCCAACAGACACACTACCTCTGAGGATGCTTGCCATAGATGCAGGCGAAACATCCGATGAAAATGCCTCTAGACCATGGCCATATAGCCCGAAAAAACCTACAACAACCCAATAATAATAATAATAATTCTTAATTATTATTTACACAACAGGATTAGCAAACAAGAACACTCTGCTGGCTTTTGTATTGGATCCCACGTCGAACACTTCCCAAGTTTCTAGGTCTGTGTGATGTTTTCATTCATTCATGGCCATAGATTACAATACCAAGAATGCCCAGAAAATTTATTGTGAATCAGGCCCGCAACTACGGGATGGTGAAAGTCAATTCAGGTATCGTAAGCCTTTGCGGTCTCAAACCAGACCTTCTCAACGGCCTCTTGGCCCATCTCAGAGAGGGTCATGAGGTGCTTCCACCCCGTCTTGGCCGTGATCATCAAATAGTCCTTATTCTCAGGGTGTTGGAGACTGGTGTGGGCCGCCATCACAAGGGACTGGACGAATCTCCCGCTGACCAGCAGGAAAAGGGCGGCCCGTTCCTCCGGGGTCAAAGGCACCACGCTCTCGAATCCGGCCAAGACGTGGCCTCCCACGCGGATGGGATCCTGGCTTTCAATCATCATGTACATGATGGCGATGGCCACTTCGAAGACGAAATAGCCATGACTCATGTCGCAGAAGTCCAAAATCCCTGACACTCTGTATCTTGGCTTTCCAGGGGAAGAGGAATCGGCATCTATTAAAATATTGTGATCGTTGAGGTCTCCGTGATTGATGCCTAAAGGAATGAGAAGGAAAACCCAGGTAGAAAATTCATTGATTTGCAAAAGTAGAGGTCAATAAAGGTGGTTTGGGGTTGCTTTAGAGTTGCAATGAAGTGCTCAAGTGGTTTTCATGACTGACCATGTCAGACTACACAGAGAAGCCATTGAAATCCACAAGCATGTGGACAATTTCAACAGAAAGGAGGAGACCATGAAAATGAACAAAATCTGGCTACCTGTATTAAGAAAAAAACTCTAAAATTACAACAGCAAAACAGCAGAAACAACCAGGCACATCTTAACACCTCTCAACAGAACATTTTCCCAGGCTCAGCCAAGCCTTCAAATGCTAATGAAGGTGGTCAGCTGAAACATTCACACCTAGCTTCAGCAGAGAGCTTTTTGCCCCACCCCAGTCATTCCACAGATATATAAACCCATTGTCCTATTTCCAACAGACCTCACTACCTCTGAGGATGCTTGCCATAGATGCAGGTGAAACGTCAGGAGAAATGCCTCTAGAACATGGCCCTATAGCCCGAAAAAACCTACAAGAACCTAGTGATTCCAGCCATGAAAGCCTTCGACAATATATTTATTATATTTATCTATACCTTGCTTTATCTCTCCCGAAGGAGACTCAAAGCGGCTTGACATAAATGTGTTTATTATTTATTTACTGCATTTGTATACCGCCTTTCTCAGCCCAGAGGCAACTCAATGCTAAAGCATTAGCATACAGTTTAAGCTACACAAAAATGCAAATATTAACACAGAATTAAATGTAAACAATATTAAAAAATCACAGTTAATAATAATAATAATAATTGCCCAAGTGGTTTTCATGACATTACTGAGTGGGGATTTAATAATAATAATCATCATCATATCCCAAGTGGTTTTTATGACTGAGTGGGGATATAATAATAATAATAATAATAATAATAATAATAATTTCCCAATTGGTTTTAATGACATTACTGAATGGGGATTTAATAATAATCATCATCATCATCATAATATCCCAAGTGGTTATCATGACTGGGGATTTAATAATAATAATAATTGCCCAAGTGGTTTTAATGACATTACTGAGTGAGAATTTAATAATAATAATAATAATAACCATCATCATCATCATCATATCCCAAGTGGTTTTCATAACTGAGTGGGGATTTAATAATAATAATAATAATAATAATAATAATAATTGCCCAAGTGGTTTTCATGACATTACTGAGTGGGGATTTAATAATAATCATCATCATCATATCCCAAGTGGTTTTCATGACTGAGTGGGAATTTAATAATAATAATAATGATGATTGCCCAAGTAGTTTTAATGATATTACTCAGTGGGGATTTAATCATCATCATCATATCCCAAGTGGTTTTCATGACTGGGGATTTAATAATAGTAATAATAATAATAATTGCCCAAGTGGTTTTCATGACATTACTGATTGAGGATTTAATAATAATAATCATCATCATCATATCCCAAGTGGTTTTCATGACTGAGTGGGGATTTAATAATAATAATAATAACAACAAAAATAATAACAGCCCAAGTATTTTTTATGACTGAGTGAGGATTTTAATAATAACAAGAATATCAACAATAGGTTCTTGTAGGTTTTTTCAGGCTATAGGGCCATGTTCTAAAGGCATTTTCTCCTGACGTTTCGCCTGCATCTATGGCAAGCATCCTCAGAAGTAGTGAGGTCTGTTGGAATTAGGACAATGGGTTTATATATCTGGATGCATCTACACCAGGCGCGGGCAAACTTCGGCTCTCCCGGTGTTTTGGACTTCAACTCCCACAATTCCTAACAGCCGGTAGGCTGTTAGGAATTGTGGGAGTTGAAGTCCAAAACACCGGGAGGGCCGAAGTTTGCCCAGGCCTGATCTCCATTGTGGAATGAATGCAATTTGAGAAAGCTTGGACTGCTATAGCTCCGTGCTATGGATTCAAGGAAGTCTGGGGAGGCACCAGCTAAAGACCTTGTCAAACTCCATCTCCAGTGATGTCATAGTGGTATGAAACTGCATTAATTTTACAGTCTAGATGCACACTTTGGTATTTGCAGATATACCAATGACTGTATCAGAGTGCTTTTAAAAAAGCAAAACCACTTACAAGGCCGAAAGAAGCTTAATTTTGGAACGATTTTGGCGTCAAATTGCTCTATCACTTGCTTCACCACGTCTAGGTAACTGCTCTGACCCAAGGCACAAATGTACCGCTTCAGGAGAGGGACGTTGGCCAGATTCCAGATGAATTCCCCTCGGTGAAGACTCTTTGTCGACGGATGCTGGAATTTCTATTTGGGGAAAAAGGATTACACATAAGTCATTTTCCTACTTTCCAACAGACCTCACAACCTCAGAGGATGCAGGCGAAATGTCAGGAGAGAATGCTTCTGGAATGTGGTCACACAGCCCGGAAAACTCACAGCAACCCAATAGACCTAAGTGTTGCATTGATCACCATCACTGAAGTCAACCTCTCCAGATTACGGATAGTGGTCGTAAACAGAGTAGACCTCTTCCTGTATATGATTTATCCATCGACTACGTTGGCTCAGTGCTATGGAATCATGGAAGTTGTAGTTCTATCAAACAGCAACTCTCAGACTCCATAGCACTGAGGGATGGCAGTTCAAGTAGGGCCAAACTGTATTATATAATATATAATAATGATATTGTACTATGCTAATAATATAATATATTATATGTATATACGAGGGCTGAATGAAAAGTAATGCCTCCACCTTCTTAACTGCTCAACAGATGGCAGTACTGGTATGCAGCAGGCACTGGCTTGTTCAGAAGATTCTCCTCTACAGTTCCATTTTGGTGGGAAGCCTTAGCATTGAACGGTTGTGTTGTTAAAGTGCAAAGTACGGAACCCTGCGCAGATGGACTGTCAATGCGACTTAAGCAACGCATGTGGCAGGTACTGGCTTGTTCAGTAGACTCTCCTCTACAGTTCCATTTTGGCAGGAAGCCTTAGCATTGAATGGTTGTGTTGTTAAAGTGCAAAGTATGGAATCCTGCACAGACGGTTGGCCAATGCAACTTAAGCAACATGCAGTCATTGAATTCTTGACAGTAGAAGGTGTCACATCAACATCTTTAAACTTAGTACACACAGTACTCACATCAACACAATCACCATAAACAGCTTGCGTTCTCTGATGGATATCCTTTGGGGTGACACCTTCTGCTCTCATACGTTGCTTAAGTGGCATTGACAGACCGTCTGTGCAGGATTCCATACTTTGCACGTTAACAACACAACCATTCAATGCTAAAGCTTCTCACCAAAATGGAACTGTAGAGTCTACTCAACAAGCCAGTACCTGCTGCATACGTTGCTTAAGTTGCATTGACAGACCATCAGCGCAGGATTCTATACTTCGCTCTTTAACAACACCACTGTTTAATGCTAAGGCTTCCCGCCAAAATGGAACTGTAGAGGAGAGTCTACTGAACAAGCCAGGACCTGCCGCATACCTTGATTAAGTCGCATTGACAGACCGTCTGCGCAGGGTTCCCTACTTTGCACTTTAACAACACAACCGTTCAATGTTAAAGCTTCCCGCCAAAATGGAACTGTAGAGGAGAGTCTACTGAACAAGCCAGTACCTGCCGCATACGTTGCTTAAGTCGCATTGACAGACCGTCTGCGCAGGGTTCTGTACTTTGCACTTTAACAACAACACCGTTTAATGCTAAGACTTCCCGCCAAAATGGAACTGTAGAGGAGAGTCTACTGAACAAGCCAGGACCTGCCGCATACGTTGCTTAAGTGGCATTGACCGACCGTCTGCACAGGGTTTCCTACTTTGCACTTTAACAACACAACCGTTCAATGTTAAAGCTTCCTGCCAAAATGGAACTGTAGAGGAGAGTCTACTGAACAAGCCAGTACCTGCCACATACATTGCTTAAGTCGCATTGACCAACCGTCTGCGCAGGGTTCCCTACTTTGCACTTTAACAACACAACCGTTCAATGTTAAAGCTTCCCGCCAAAATGGAACTGTAGAGGAGAGTCTACTGAACAAGCCAGTACCTGCCGCATAAGTTGCTTAAGGAGTTACGAAGGGGGAGGCATTACTTTTCATTCAACCCTCATATATCTTGTAAGCTGCTCTGAGTCCCCTTTGGGGTGAGAAGGGCAGCATATAAATGTCACAAATAAGTAAATAAATAAATAAATATTAAATCGGCAGTGTAGACGTATTCGTAAGGCTCACCTCCGCCAGAGTTTTGTCCAGTCTGGCGGCCAGTTGGCCAATCTCATAGAGAACCGGAGGGCCGATGGGGAGCGTTGCCGCTGTTTTGCCTGGCAAGAAGCTCAAGAGCCGGACCATATATCCTTTGGTGGCAACCGCCGGCGTCTCTAAGAGGCAAAGCAAAAGAAGTTGACGTTAGCCAAGGCAACCAGTGAGAAATGGAGGAGCGTTGCAACCGGAAAAGCATCCTACAGGAGCTTAGTATCCCAAGGCTGCGTCTACACTGATTGACTTTGCAGCTGCAAGGCTACTCAATGGAAGCAAAATTCACGCTTTTGTTTTTGTTTTATACTGTATGTTTTTGTATTATTTACATATGTGGAAACCACTCTGAATCCCCTAGGGGAGATAGGGCAGTATATAAATAATAATAATAATAATTATTATTATTATTATTATTATTATTATTAGCTGTCCCCTGCTATGCGTTGCTGTGGCCTTCATGGGGGTTCTGTGTGGGAGGTTTGGCCCAATTCTATCGTTGGTGGGGTTCAGAATGTTCTTTGACTGTAGGTGAACTATAAATCCCAGCAACTATAACTCCCAAATGTCAAGATTCTATTTTCCCCAATCTCCACCAGTGTTCACATTTGGGCATATTGAGTATTCATGCCAAGTTTGGTCCAGATCCATCCTTGTTGGAGTCCACAGTGCTCTCTGGATGTAGGTGAACTACAACTCCCAAACCAAAGGACACTGCCCACCAAACCCTTCCAGTATTTTCTGTTGGTCATGGGAGAACAGTGTGCCAAATTTGATTCAATTCCATCGTTGGTGGGGTTCAGAATGCTCTTTGATTGTTGGTGAACTATACATCCCAGCAACTACAACTCCCAAATGACAAAATCAGTCATTTTTGAGTGAAGGACATTCATTGGGTTGTTAGGTGCATTGTGTCCAAATTTGGTGTCAATTTGTCCAGTGGTTTTTCAGTTCTGTTAATCCCACAAACGAACATTACATTTTTATTTATATAGATGATGATTATGATGATGATGATGATGATTATTATTATTGCTTGCAATAGGCAAGGGTTCTTTCTCCCACCCTGGACATTATTCCACAGGGATATAAATGCTCCACTTGCCTCTCCTCCAACAGACCTCTGAAGACAGCATTAGCCACAGATGTAGGCGAAATGTCAGGAGAGAATGATGCTGGAATATGGCCATACAGCCAAAAAACCTCACAGCAACCTAGTGATTGTAGCCATGGAAGCCTTCGACAACACAAATATCATGTCGTCACTATTCTCACCGACTGTTTCCAGGAACATGATTTGTCCCTCTGTGGTCAGTCGCGGGGTGGCCACGGGGAAGCCTTCTTGGTTCAGGAACATCATGATCCGTGTCTGGACCTCCATGAGCTCCGCTTTCTGGCTGTCCTGGGCATTACTGATCTTGAGGACGTATTCCTTTGTTCCTTCTCCTTTCCCTTCGGCCTTGGCAATGCGGACGTGGAAATTCTGATCGTCGTAGCTGGGTAGCGGCTGAACCGCAGAGACTTTCAACCCAAATATCTTTTCCACCAATTCGGTGGCTTGCTCTTCGCTGAAGGATGGCTTATTCAGGTCGCCGCAAAGCGGTCGAGGATCTCCAGAAGACATCGTGCAGCTAGAAAGAAACAACAATCATTATAATAATACTGGGTTGCTGTGCGTTTTCTGAGCTATATGGCCACATTCCAGAAGCATTCTCTCCTGACATTTCATCCACAGCAAGCTGGCTTCAGGAAAGGCAAAAGCTGCACATTGCAAGTGCTGAACCTGACTCAGCACATAGAAGACGGCTTTGAAAGGCAGCAGATCACAGGAGCTGTCTTCATAGACCTGTCAGCAGCCTATGATACCGTGAACCACCGCCTCCGCCTGAGAAAAATGTATAATATCACAAAGGATTACCACCTCACCCGCCTCATAGGAAACCTGCTACAAAACAGGAGCTTTTTTGTTGAGTTCCAGGGCCAGAGAAGCAGATGGCGGAAACAGAAGAACGGCCTGCCTCAGGGGAGCGTGCTTGCTCCATCCATGTTCAACATCTACACAAATGACCAGCCACTGCCAGAAGGGACAGAGAGCTTCATCTATGCTGATGATCGTGCCATTACCGCTCAAAAAGGGAGCTTTGAGATGGTTGAACAGAAGCTCTCCAAAGCTCTAGGTACTCTTACTGCCTATTACAGGGAAAACCAGCTGATCACCAACCCATCTAAAACACAGAGATGTGCCTTTCACCTTCAGAACAGACAAGCATCCCGAGCTCTGAGGATTATTACCTGTGAAGGAATCCCACTGGAGCATTGCAGCGCACCCAAATACCTGGGAGTCACTCTGGACCGTGCTTTTACCTACAAGAAGCACTGCCTGAATATCAAGCAAAAAGTGAGTGCTAAAAACAATATTATACAAAAGCTGACTGGCACAACCTGGGGATCACAACCAGACACAGTGAAGACATCTGCCCTTGCGCTTTGCTACTCTGCTGCTGAGTATGCATGCCCAGTGTGGAACACATCTCACCATGCTAAAACAGTGGATGTGGCTCTTAATGAGACATGCCGCATTATCACGGGGTGTCTGCGCCCTACACCACTGAAGAAATTACACTGCTTAGCCGGTATTGCACCACCTGACATCCGCTAGGAAGTAGCAGCCAATAGTGATAGGACCAAGGCAGTGACATCTCCAGCTCATCCCTTGTTTGGGTATCAGCCAGCACGTCAACGACTTAAATCAAGAAATACTTTTCTAAGATCTACAGAGACACTCCAGCAAGCGAGAGTCCAAAAGTGGCAGGCTCAAACCCAGAACCTCAATTAATGGCTGAAACCAAATGAGAGACTCCCCCCTGGGCACACAGAAGACTGGGCGACTTGGAAGGTGCTGAACAGACTGCGCTCTGGCACCACGAGATGCAGAGCCAATCTTAAGAAATGGGGCCACAAAGTGGAATCCACGACATGCGAGTGTGGAGAAGAGCAAACCACTGACCACCTGCTGCAATGCACCCTGAGCCCTGCCACATGCACAATGGAGGACCTTCTTGGAGCAACACCAGAAGCACTCCAAGTGGCCAGATACTGGTCAAAGGACATCTAATCCACTACCAAGCTTGCAAACTTTGTGTTTTGTCTGTTTGTTTGTTTGTTTTTGTCAAAAATGTAATACAAATGTCTGTTTGCTGATGACACGATAAATAAATAACCCACATCTATTTCAGGCATCCTCAGAAGTTGTGAGGTCTGTTGGCAACTAGGAAACTTGGGTTTATATATCTGTGGAATGATGTCCATGGTGGGAGAAAGAACTCTTGTCTGTTGGAGGTGAGTGTAAATGTTGCAATCGGCCACCTTGATTAGCATTGCCAAGCCTTGTAGCTTCAAGGCCTGCCTGATTCCTTCCTGAAGGAATCCTTTGTTGGGAGGTGTCAGCATATTATTTGAGAACAAGGAAATGCGGGACCACTCTCACAACCACCATGTCAGGCCACATAGAGAAGCCACTGAAATCCACAAGAAGCAGGTGGACAATGTCAATGGAAAGGAGGAAACCGTGAAAATGAACAAAGTCTGGCTACCAGTATTTTTTTTTAAAAAAACGTCTAAAATCAGGACAGTAAATAAAGAACAACACTCAAAAAACAGGGGAAATCCAGACAGGAAACAATCAGGGCCAGCTAACACCTCAGAACAAAGGATTCCACCAGGCAGGAAGCAGCCAGGCTTTGAAGCTGCAAGGTTATTGAATGCTAATCATGCTGGCCAACTACAACATTCACACTTTCCTGAAACAGACGAGTTCTTTCTCCCACCTTGGACATCATTCCACAGATATATAAACTCCACTTGCCTAGTTTCCAATAGACCTCACAACCCCTGGGGGTGCCTGCCACAGATGTGGGCAAAACATCAGGAGAGAATGCTTCTGGAACAGGGCCATGCAGCCCGGAAAACTCACAAGCAACCTCAATTATGTTATTATTGTTATGATTATTTTCCATTTTAGAGGGTATTAAAAAAAACCCTCTAAAATTGGGACAGTAAATAAAGAGCAACACTCAAAAAACAAGGGAATTCCAGACAGGAAACAATCAGGGCCAGCTAACACCTCCCAATAATGGATTCCACCAGACAGGAAGCAATCAGGCTTTGAAGGTGCAGGGTTATTGAATGCTAATCAGGCTGGCCAATTGCAACATTCACCAAACAGAGAAGAGTTGGGTTGTTGTAGGTTTTTTCGGGCTATATGGTCATGGTCTAGAGGCATTCTCTCCTGACGTTTCGCCTGCATCTATGGCAAGCATCCTCAGAGGTAGTGAGATCTGTTGGAACTAGGAAAAGAGAAGAGTTCTTTCTCCCACCCTGGACATCATTCCACAGATATATAAACCCCATTTTCCTAGTTTCCAATAGACCTCATAATCTCTGTGGATGCCTGCCACAGATGTGGGCAAAATGTCAGGAGAGAATGCTGCTGAAAGATGGCCACACAGCCCGGAAAAGTCACAGCAACCCCCTCTGTTATGTTATTATTGTTGATTATTTTCCATTTTAGAGGGTATTTTAAAAAAAACCTCTAAAACGGGGACAGTAAATAAAGAGCAACACTCAAAAACAAGGGAATTCCAGACAGGAAACAATCAGGGCCAGCTAACACCTCCCAATAATGGATTCCACCAGTCAGACGAGAATGCTTCTGGAAGATGGCCACACAGCCCGCAAAACTCACAGCAACCCAGTGAATCTGGCCGTGAAAGCCTTCGACAACACATTGCTCGTCTTACTTACTCGAGTCAATGACAACACAATAGAGACAAGTTGTGTGGTTCTTCTCCCAGTTCACACCCCAGTCTCGGCTACTGCTGCTGGAAGTTATATAACAACAATCTATCCTTGGGAACTTTGCCCAGCGACCCTTGGACTTGGTCAAAGAAGGCCGGAGCCTCACTCTTCCGCAATCCAACTAGGAAAGGAAGCCAAAGAGAGTGAAGTGCCGAGACAGTGAAAACTTACGAGGGTTGAATGAAAAGTAATGCCTCCACCTTTGTAACTTGGGTTTGGATAGGAGTATTTTAATAAATCAAACACAGAAATAATCCTTAGAATGCAGCACACCCAAATACCTGGGAGTCACTCTGGACCGTGCCCTGCCCTACCAGAAGCACTGCCTGAATATCAAGTAAAAAGTGGGCGCCAGAAACAATATCATACAAAAGCTGACTGGCACAACCTGGGGATCACAACCAGACACAGTGAAGACATCTGCCCTTGTGCTGTGCTACTCTGCTGCTGAGTATGCATGCCCAGTGTGGAACACATCTCACCACGCTAAAACAGTGGATGTAGCTCTTAATGAGACATGCCACATTATCAAGGGGTGTATGCGCCCTACACCACTGGAGAAACGACACTGACATCCGCCGGGAAGTAGCAGCCAATAGTGAAAGGACCAAGGCAGTGACATCTCCAGCTCATCCCTTGTTTGGGTATCAGCTAGCACGTCAACGACTTAAATAAAGACATAGTTTTCTAAGAACTACAGAGACACTCGCTGGAACACCCCAGCAAGCAAGAGTCCAATAGTGGCAGGCTCAAACCCAGAGCCTCAATCAATAGCTGATACCAAATGAGAGACTCCCCCCTGGGCACACGGAAGACTGGGTGACCTGGAAGGCACTGAACAGACTGCGCTCTGGCACCACGAGATGCAGAGCCAACCTTCAGAAATGAGGCTACAAAGTGGAATCCACGACATGCGAGTGTGGAGAAGAGCAAACCACTGACCACCTGCTGCAATGCAACCTGAGCCCTGCCACATGCACAATGGAGGACCTTCTTGCGGCAACACCAGAGGCACTCCAAGTGGCCAGATACTGGTCAAAGGACATTTAATCAACTACCAAGCTTGCAAACTTTGTGGTTTTTTTATCTGTTTGTTTTGTTCTGTTAGAAATGTAATGGTTGCCCTGACACGATAAATAAATAAATTACCACTATTCACTTCATAATCACCAGACAATTGGATACATTTCTGCCAACCATGTTTTCTGAAGCTGTCATGGAAGAAGTTGACACTCTGTTTCTGCAACCAGCATCTCACAGTTCTCTCATCCTGGGTACCCATCGTGCACAGATCTTCCGATACCCAAGCAAAGCAATAATGTGACCCACACGTTCTTGTGAAATGCCGATGATGCTTGACATTTCTCTCTGAGTGATTCGATGGTTGTCCTGAATCAATGTCAACTTTTGCTTGTGAAAATCGGTGGTTGCTGTGACAGGACGTCCAACTCTTTGCTTGTCACGCAAGTCAGATGTTCCCACCTCAACATCTTTAAACTTACTCACCCAACGACGCACAGTACTCACGTCAACACAATCACCACAAACAGCTTGCATTCTCTGATGGATCTCCTTTGGGGTGACACCTTCTGCTGTCAGGAATTCATTGACTGCACCTTGCTTAAGTCACATTGACTGACCAACTGCGCAGGGTTCCATATTTTGCACTTTAACAACACTACTGTTCAATGCTAAGGCTTCCCGTCAAAATGGAACTGTAGAGGAGAGTCTACTGAACAAGCCAGTACCTGCTGCATACGTTGCTTAAGTCGCATTGACAGATTGTCCGCGCAGGGTTCTATACTTCACACTTTAACAACACCACCGTTCAATGCTAAGGCTTCCTGCCAAAATGGAACTGTAGAGGAGAGTCTACTGAACAAGTCAGTATCTGCTGCATACTGGTACTGCCATCTGTTGAGGAGTTACGAAGGGGGGAGGCATTACTTTTCATTCAACCCTCATAGAACGATTCTCCTTCAAAACATACATTGTTTACTGTACTTGAGATCACAAGATGTGACCGATGATTAGTTCTATCATAGGCTGGATCTACAATGCCATCTAATGCAGATTCAAACTATATTATATGGTCAGTGTAGAGTACACTCATGCAATGCAGTTCAATGCAATTAAACTGTATTTATATGGGTCTCCCCTGACCATATAATGCAGTTCAGCGTAGAGAACCCTATGACATATATGCAATATAGTATTTCAGATCTAGGAGGGAGATTACTTTACCTAAGCAAGGAATCTCAGATTCAGTCCATCATGTCTTCAGTAAGGAAGTTGCAGAGTTGATGCTCCAATTAATTCTGGAGTTTGCTTTCTATGGAGTGTTTGGTTTGATTTGATTGACAGTTGTCTGGCTGCATCAAAAAGGATGAGGATATTTAGATCCCTTCTTGCTTGGAGATCTTGTTGCAGCTGGATAAAAATAAAATGAAGCAGGACAAGGAATCGAAGAGCAGGAAGCCGAGTTGCATGGAAATCCCAGCCAGGGCCCCTTGCTTCCTCTCAGAGCAGGAAATGCAAGGTTGGCTTTCCCTTGCCTGGGGAAGCATTTCAAAGGAAGCTTTTGATTGGTTGCTAGGCAGCTTTGTGCCTCCTGGAGACAGAAGATGGATCTATATACTAGAATGAATCACTGTATTGTCGAAGGCTTTCATGGCCAGAATCTCTGGGTTGCTGTGAGTTTTCCAGGCTGTCTGGCCATGTTCCAGAAGCATTCTCTCCTGACGTTTCTCCCCATCTAAGGCAGGTATCCTCAGAGCTTGTGAGGTCTGTTGGAAACTAGGCAAGTGGAATGTGTGTGTATGTGTGTGTATATATAGTATAGTATAGTATAGTATAGTATAGTATATACTATACTATACTATACTATACTATACTATACTATACTATACTATATGGTATAATATCCAGGGTGGGAGAAAGAAGGAACTCTTGTCTGTTGGAGGCAAGTGTTAATGTTTCAGTTAACCACCTTGATTAGCACTGAATGGCCTTGCAGCTGCAAAGTCTGGCTGGTTTCTGCCTGTGGGAATCCTATATATATATCTGTGGAAGGATGTCTAGGGTGGGAGAAAGAACTCTTGTCTGCTTGAGGCAGGTGTGGATGTTACTATTGGCCACCTTGATTAGCATTGAATGGCCTTGCAGCTGCAAAGCCTGGCTGGTTGATGCCTGGGGGAATCCTCTCTCTCTCTATATATATATATATATCTGTGGAAGGATGTCTAAGGTGGGAGAAAGAACTCTTGTCTGCTTGAGGCAAGCGTTAATGTTTCAATTAACCACCTTGATTAGCATTGAATGGCCTCGCAGCTGCAAAGCCTGGCTGGTTGCTGCCTGGGGGAATCCTATATATATATATATCTGTGGAAGGACGTCTAGGGTGGGCGAAAGAACTCCTGTCTGCTTGAGGCAGGTGTGGATGTTACCATTGGCCACCTTGATTAGCATTGAATGGGCTTGCAGCTGCAAAGCCTGGCTGGTTGCTGCCTGGGGGAATCCTATATATATATCTGTGGAAGGATGTCTAGGGTTGGAGAAAGACTTCTTGTCTCCTTGGGGCAGGTTGGATGTTGCCATTGGCCATCTTGATTATCATTTAATGGCCTAGCAGTTTCAAAGTCTGGCTTCTTACTGCCTGGGGGAATCCTTTGTTGGGAGGCAGTAAGAAAGAAGCCACACCTTGAAAGCGCTAGGCCATTAAATGCTAATTAAGGTGGCCAGTGGCAACATTCACACCTGCCCCAAAGAGAAAAGAGATCTTTCTCCCACCCTGGACATTATTCCACAGTTATATAATGGTATGGTGCAATATAGTGATATATAATTATATATAATATATATATATTATAATATATTGTACGAAAATATATATTGTAAGCCACTCTGAGTCCCCTTCGGGATAAATAAATAATATAAACCCTACTTGCCTCGTTTCCAGCAGATTTCTCAACCTGTGAGGATGCCTGCCATAGATGTGGATGGAACGTCAGGAGAGAATGCTTCTGGAACATGGCCACAGCGCAGAAAACTCACAACGACCCAGAATGAATGCAATTTGATAGTACTTTTAACTGCTATGGCTCAATGCTGTGGGATCACAGGAGCTGTAGTTTTGCAAGGTCTGTAGGCAATGCTTGCATCACCAAACAACTCCCAGGTTTCCATAGCATTGGACTATGGCAGGTGTAAAAGAACATGAATTCTATAGTCACATGCAGCCTTGGAAAGAGAAAAATATATGCAGAATTGTAAGATGTTAGGGGTGTATACAGTATGGAGACCAGCTATACACCTACCAGTATAGATTTATTGTTGTGTCAGGAGTGACCTGAGAAACTGCAAGTCACTTCTGGTGTGAGAGAATTGGCCATCTGCAAGGACGTTGCGCAGGGGACGCCCGGATGATTTGATGTTTTTATCATCCTTGTGGGAGGCTTCTCTCATGTCCCCGCATGAGGAGCTGGAGCTGGTAGAGGGAGCTCATCCGCCTCTCCCCGGATTCGAACCTGCGACCTGTCGGTCTTCAGTCCTGCCAGCACAGGGGTTTAACCCACTGCGCCACCGGGGGCTCCACCAGTATAGATAGCTTTATATAATTCCTGAATTAGGAGATGCTAAGGGTCTACATGTTTTTGTAACACCCTATATATCCATATGTCTCTCTCTCTCTTCCTGAATTATAAACTACTAGCTTGGGTACCTGGCACTGCCTGGATTATTTGGAAAAGCCATTTTGTGTATTTTGCAAGGTTGTGGATTAACTACAACTCACATCATGCCAGGTTAAGCCCATAAAGTTTGTGATGTTGGTCAAGTTTGCTCTAGATGCAATGACCGGTGGGGTTCAGTGTGCTCTCTGACTGCAGGGTGAACTACAACTCCCACTATGATGAGTCAGTCCACTCAAACCACTCCAGTAGGTTGTTAGTCATGGGGGTTCCGTGTGTCAAGTTTGTTCCAGGTCCATCATCGGTGGAGGTCACTGGTTGTGGGTGAACTACAACTCCCAGAAAGGAAGGTCTGTTCCCCCCAAACCCGTCCAGTAATCCCGTCCATGTCCATCATCGCTGGAGGTCTGTTTCTCTGGCTGTGGAT